TGAATAAGTCTCACAAAATACCTCAGCACTTTTATGGAGAATCTTCAGGCTGTTGGCACAAGCTCTGTGCACACTGGACTGGAAGACAGTTGAAGATCTTTAATTATTTCTAGACACCTCTTTTGTGTATTCTCCTTAACTTTTTGTTAAAGTAATGTGTTAGCATTTACTTTCCCCCACTATGACTGGAATACAGCCTTTCTACCAAGGTGTGTTACACTCTGGAAAAGCAAGTGTTTGTACTGCTTGCAGTAGTTAACAGAAACATAAGAATTAAAACTTTCTCTAAGAGATCAGTCCTAAAGATCTCATTTTCAAAACTGTTAAAGCTTCAAATGATGTTGAGAAAATCAGCTTTAATAAATGCTTAACATTGTAGCTGACAATGAGGTTTGAAAATGAACTTGCAGTTAAAGATTTTACATCACCATCTTAGATCTTACATGTAAGATTTTACATCTTACAGTGAGAAGATGATACTTGACTTCATTAATTACGCCATATATTTTATCAGCCCAAACCATAAATAAGTCAGGAGACTCTGGCAGAAAGAAATGAGCCCGATGCTTCTGTCGCGTATTTCTTGGGTGACGGGGAAACTACTGAAAGACTGTTAAACACACTTAAGCATGAAGAGTCATGACTGGGTTAATGATGGTGACAGTGGATACAATGTGGGCCCAAATGGGAAATCTCCTGAAGACACTATGGTAAGCAGTTAATCAGCGACTGGTTAGACAAAAACACGTTGATAAGGCAGATGGTGATAGAGAAGTCTTCCCAGAAGGCCATCTCAGGTAGTGCTGCTGTACCTCTTGAGAACCCTGCCCCGGCCCCTCATCAGTGCCTGACACTGCCCTCACGGACCCTTCTCTCTAAGGTTCTCAAGCAGCCAGCTCTCATGAAAATTCATTACACGTATAAGTGCACATACATGCACAGATAATTAACTTCGGTGTGAATTTGAAAGTTTATTGAATTCTTTCCTTGAAAAATAAAAGTAACGAAATACTATTTTAGTCTACCAATTCTGTTTTTATTAGCTTATTACTACACATATAATAACTACATAAATTACTGCCATACAAATGGACTATAATAGTATTTCCAGTGTGTATCCATTTAATGTGAGTATTCATTTTCTAAAAAAAATATTTGTGTTTACTAGCAGGGAGATGTTTTGACCTCTGAAAAGTGTAGAAATTCTGAATTCTCAAATACATCTGAAATGTTTTATGAAGAAAAAGGTAGACATGTGCTATAAAGGAGATGATGACTTCCAGAAGAGCAGAGTAAGAACTTCTGGAAGTCTCTTTTTATAAAGCAACAAAACACTGACAAAAGTTGTCAAATCAGCTTTTCCGGAACTCTAGGAACTAAAGATTTACAATAGTCTTAGGAAGATTTGCTCTAGAAAAGTGGCTGAAACTCAAAGCTTGGTGGCGTTTTCACTTTCCCTCTTTCCATGCTCCCTTCCTCGCCATGTGGCAGCCTTGGAAACTTAACAAACAGCCTTGCCGCAGCAGGAGCCGCAAACCATAGCCTCCCGGCAACCCTGGAAGCGGCAGGACAGGTTTGCAGTTTCCCAACAAGCTCCAACCCAGAAATTTTCACTTATTGATTTCTCTGGCAGTTCTCTGAAAACCTTGTTTCTCAAGGTTTGTCTTTATTTGATCTGGCTTAGAGTTTGCTTTGTGTGAATAATCTTATCCCCCTGGGGTTTTTGTTAAGATAGTCTGTGGTGATTGCTTAACATCACCACAGTAGGTCACAGTATTGACAGTTGGCACCAGCAAGAACCTGATGAAAAAATTTAGAAAAAACCACTGAGGACTGTCCACAGGAGGCTTTGAAAGGCTCGGAAAGTTTATCAGGAATCTGGAATGACGTCCGTGAGAAGGGATGTGCATGTGCCCCAGAGGGGTGGGAGTCGAGGCCCTGATCTCTCAGTCCTGGCTGAACTTGCGGGCCTGCATGCAGAAGGGGGAAGGGTGAGAGAGTCGCACACTGCCTGCAGGAGCAGTCAGAGCGTTGCCCACCACACTGCTCTTCAGGGAAGGCGGGGGACTTGTTGGTGCAGTGGCGTCCAGCCTTTTGGCATCTTTGGGCCACACATTAAAGACATTGTGACACATAATCACAAAAACCATCTCAATGTTTTAAGTAAACTTACAATTTTGTGTTCGGCCACATTCATGGCCATCCTGAGCTGCAGGTAACCCATGGGCCGCAGCTTGGACACACCAGGTTTAAGGCATTTAAGGAAATTTGTCCAGTCCTTAGTGAGCAGAGACTTCAGTAGTAGCACACAACAAAGAATACAGGTGTTATACCTTTAGTCTGGGAAAGTCACTTAAATGAACAGTAACAGCAGTGTGAAACCCTGAGGGACACCCATGGGAAATCTGATTTCCGGAGCTGCCACACTATGTTATTTAACATGTTCTATTCTCCACAAAATATTATGGGCCCCAAAGGAACAGGTCAGTATGGCCTACACAGGCACAAAGAGAAAGAAGTCAATGGAAACTTTCTTTAAGGAAACCCAGATTTATTGGACAAAGACTTTAAAATTGGCTACTGTAAATATGTTTAAAGAAGTAACTCAAAGAAGGTGTAAGAATAATTTCCCACCAAATAGAGACAGTCAGTAAAGTGAGAGAATATATTTTTTAAAGAACCAATGAAAATTCAAGGATTGAAAATGTAACTGAAGTTTAAAGTGAACTATCAGACTTAACATCAGATTTGAGAGAGAGAACAAATAATCAGAATTAAAAGATAGGTCAATTCAAATTTATCCAATTCTGAGGAACAGAAAGTAAGTGAAGAAAAATTAACAGAGCCTCAGAGACTTGAAGGATGCCATCAAGAATACCAACCTAAGCATAATGGGAGTCCTAAAAGGGAAGAGGGAGAAAAATAGTAAGAAGGTTATTTTAAGAAATAGAGGCCCATAACTCCTTAAATGGGTGACAAACATTAATCTACTCATCTAAGAAAGTCAACAGTATGGAAATGAAGCTTCTCATGGGGGTGATGGAGGTGTTCTGCAATTGGATGGTGGTGGTGATTGCACAACTCTGAGAATGTGCTAAAAACTTTGAATTCTTCTCTAAAATGGTGATTTTTAGAATATACAAATTGTGTCTCATTGAAGATATTTAATTAAAAACGGAAGAGGAGGGTATTTTTTAATAATGCGGAGATCTTCAGAATACATTGTTGAATGTGACAGTGTGTGTAACGTCACTTTTTGTAATGAAGAAGGGAAGTAAAATTTGTGGTTTGAGCCAACATTTAAAAATATTGTAAGGATTCATAGAAAATTAATAAAAATGCTCACCCAGAAGGCTGGAAGTAAGATGTTGATTGTAGTGTACAGAGAGATGTATGGAAGCAAAACCTACCTGTATATCTTTTTACATCAATTATTTTTAAATACATGTATGTATGATTTTTTTAAGACTTTTTAAATTCATTTGGGGGTTTAGTGGGGAATCTAATAGGGGAAATAGACTATAAGTAAGTACTTAATTTTTTTTAGTCTTTCAATTTTATTTCATAAATTGATGTTTATTTATATGGTTGAACATGTAACATAATTTGAATACTTGAAATCACTATGTGTAGACATTTTCCAGATTTGTTGTTGTTGTTGTTCAAATGTTTCAATAATAAGTGAGAAAGGTTTTAGAATGTTGGATACATTTTCCTCTATAAACTGTGCAATAAGGAATGAGGGAGTAGGTCTGACCTGCTCAGTTGGTTGGGCATCATCCTGTAAAACAAGAGGTTGATGGTTCAATTCCTGGTCAGGGCACATGTCTGGGTTGTGGGCCAGTCCCCAGTTGGGGGGGTGCTTGTTTCCCTCTCACATGGATGTTTCTCTCCCTCTATTTCTCCCTCCTCTTTCCTCGGTCTAAAAAGAAATAAATAAAATCTTACAGTTGTTTTAAAAAATAAAAGGAAATGAGGGAGTAGATAAAAATGTTCTAGATTCAGTGGTCAGTTTACAAAAGCTGGCCATAATGTTGCTGGACTGAGTAACAGATTTATGAAAATAGAATAGATTTATTTACTGAATTAACTCAAGTTTTTCGAAAGTTTAACTACCTTGACCAGGAGTTGACAAACTTTGCTTTTAAAGGAACAAATAATATATTAGGTTTCGTGGGCTAAACTGTCTCAATTGCTAAATCTGGTCTAGAGCAACAGCCATATTTGATATATAAACATTAGGACATAGCTGTGTTCCAATGAAGTTTTTTGTTTTGTTTTGTTTTATAAAACAGGCTGTAGGTTTGGGCTGTGGAGCCCGATTTCCTAGCCTCTGATGTGGAGCATTGCTTAGCAGGGAGGGGAGTAAATGTATTCTAATTCTTAACATAAAGAATACATCTCTCTTTGTCTGTCAATGAGAGTGGCCCTTTTTTTCTGTTATAAGAACAGGTCATCCCTGACATCTCTGTTTGTGGAGGCAACATAGTTACCTTTTAGGAAATTCATCTTAAGTTTCAGCACTGAATCAGAAAGTCTAAAATACAAGAATTTTTTAAAATTATTTTTTGAGAAGAGAGAGGCTACTGAAACTTGTAGCTTAAAAGAGCAAACTGTTTGCCTGCGTACCTTGCGCCCTGCATCCCACCTCTCTACTATGGTCCATGTTTCCCTAGGATATAGTAGTAGAAAGGTTCACCAAGATGAATTCCATCTAGAGGCCACAGATCAGCTGGACGTTAAAGAAAGTCTTTCTGGGTCTCAGTTGCTCTAGCTGAACTTTGGTGCCCCCACGTGTATAATACGAAGACATTGGACTACGGATAATATTTAAGGTCTCTTCTGGCTGGAAAGATGGCTCCTGGGGATTCTGATAAGAGTGGACTACTACTACCCATATGCTTCTTAAAGCTGGAACTTCACATACAGTTTTCTGAGAAATTTTTGCTTTGAGAAATGTCAGGGTGGGTAAATAACTGTTGCACATGTTTATCCTTTAGGGGCTAAGATGGATCTTGTACTCAGTGCTGCGGATTATTATGTTTTTACACCGTACATCTATCCAGCCACCTGGCCAGAGAACAACTTCTTTCGACAGACTGTTAGTCTCCTGATTATAACAAATCTTGGTGCTTATATCCTTTATTTCTTCTTTGCAACACTGAGCTATTATTTTGTCTTTGATCATTCATTAATGAAACATCCACAGTTTTTAAAGGTAACTGATTTTCTTATCTATTTGTAATTACTATTACAGTAAAAGTAACCATATAATAAATTTGTGAGCTATTCAGATTAAATTAATTATAAACATTAAATAAAATTTTTGAAATGAGCCCAATGGGTTCTATATTTTTTGAGCTAATCCCACTTCTTCCTTAATTTAAACAAATACATGAATCTAGCTATTTCCCCCTGCCCAACTAAATGCCTGGTATTTTGCTAGTTACATAAACAAGAATTTCTTTGCTAATAGCAATAAGTAAATACATGGATACATTTATGTAGTTATTTTAATGTTTGACCCCAAGTGAACTATACTTTTACTATGTTTCATAGTAGTTTACTATGTAAACTACTGATGATCAAAACTCAGTAGTTTTAGGTTGTTGACAGTCATTTTTCTATTTCAGTTACTTGTACTTGTCAAATACAGATCTCTAATACAAGTCTCCAAGGACTGGAAAAAAAGGGTTAGGGATGGAAGTTAGTTATGAGAGAAATGGTTATTCAGTAAATAGAAATTTAGACTACAGATTTTGTTGGAAGGAAAATAAGTTTGAGAATTTAAAATATGTATTGTTTTTGCTCAGTACAAAAGTAATTTTTTTCTTATATACCCATTCCCACATAATAACATTTTAATAGAAACATTTTGGAAGTAAACTCATTAATATAAAAGAGATTCTAAAAATCCAACTCCAAAAAATTTTATGCTAGTTTTGTTTAATAGACAGTTTGTGATTTTTAAGTGTTGGAAATTTCATTTTCAGAATCAAGTCTATCGAGAGATTATGTACACTGTGCAGGCTTTACCGTGGATGAGTATTCCCACTGTTTCCTTGTTCCTGCTGGAGTTGAAGGGTTACAGCAAATTATATGATGACATAGGAGGCTTTCCACACGGTAAGTAAGCAGAGTGTCAGGCACAGATTGGCTTTCCTAAAGAACCAAATTAGTTTTTTTCATGTTCTTCAACTTTTTGTTGTCTGCACTTATGTCCTGCCACATATATGCATTTACTCAAGTTTGTCAGTTTTAAAATCTGTGTTTTAGATGAAATTGTGTCTGGAGAAGACCAGTGAGATCAGATGCAAGCCTTTGCATTTGTTTCCTGTCACCTGTATTGAATTCAAACTTCCAAAAAAGTAACTCAAGTAGTACATGACAGTAATGGAAAATTAGAAAATTCAGGTTTTAAATTTCAGTTATCTTTCTACCTAGACACTGGAAATCTTTTGATGTCTGTCCTCTCACTTTCCTATGCCTTGTGTGCTTCCTTGTTTATATTACAAAAATGAAACTTTACTGTGCATACTGGTTTGAACTCTGATTATTTTCTTATAGCAATAACTATGCCATATTTTCATGCCTATAAATATTGGCATTATGTAGTATGTTAGTAATAGTATCTAATTTTTAGAACTTTAGATTGTTCCTCCTTTGTCTATTATAAACAGCCCTGAAGCAACTAAACTTTTTATGAAATTCTGAAATGATTCCATCAAGATACATTTCTGGTGTTGAGTATTAGAAAGTAAGAATAATAGTTAACGTTTGTTGAGTACTAATAAGTATAGTTTAATACTCATAGTTTTAAGCTTTTCATGTATATCAATTCATTTTATTGTACATCAGTTCTGTGAGATAGGTACTATTGTGCTCCTTTTTATATAGGTTAGTAAATTAAATTCACAGAGAATTGTAGTAACTTGCCCAGGTTTCTCAACAAATGGGTGGTGGATTTGCACCAGCACCTCTGCTTTGTAAGTAAGAGATTAGTTAGAGGAGGGAATGAAAACCACACACTAAGGTGATGAATTGACTAGACTTTGAAATGTGATGGGATGATGAGTAAAAATGAAAGGAGGGAGGGCATTTTAGATAGATGGAACAGGATAAGTAAAGGTACAGAGGTAAGATTTTCAGGATGCTGGGAGGACATGAGGTGAACCAGCCTGGTTCCTGCAGGAACAGATGAGATTGGCAAGATCAGAAAGCATCAGGTCACTGGGTTAACACTCAGTTTAAGGTGTTTAGTGGAAAATAAAATTCTAAGTGAGGACTTAATGTATAAAGACAATGTTTGTGAAGGAAAGTTATTACATAGAGTTATTCTCAGAGATTTGAATAATAAGATGTATCAGGAGTATCCTTTTTCTGTTTCCTTAATATCTTAATAGGTTAAGAAATATTTTAGGTGGGAGTCTTCTTAGTTTTTATATGAGGGAAATGAGTAAAGAAGCAGATTCCAGAGAGTCAAGGGAGATTAATTTGTAATGTGTTTAATTGGAAAACAGATAGGTTATGGTTTTGAGTCTAGGGTCATATTTTGTGCTTAGACATGTAAAAAGTAAATGCTAATCCTGGAGGCTGAGTCTTGATTCTGCCATGTACTGTTCTCTCCTCCAGGCTGGTTTCACCTCATTGTTAGTGTCCTGTCCTTCCTCTTTTTCACTGACATGCTCATCTACTGGATTCACAGAGGCCTTCATCATAGACTTGTCTATAAGGTAGAGCCATTTTTAGGGGGGATATGACACATTTCAGCAGCTGTGGTTATAAATTCTGTTCTCTATTTCCAAGAATTTTCTCTGTGTTAAATACCATCATAGTCATGACAGATAGTGGGTATGTTTTGTTGGTATTTTTTATGTGTTTGGAGGGTTTATGCTAACATTTTACTGTTTGGGGGTAAGGGAGGGCATTTTATAAAGTGATTTGCTTGTTTCAAAGGGATTTTTTGGTTAAGTCATTTCCACAACTTGAGTGTGAAAAGCTAAGTTAATGTTGTTCTTGGTGCAGTGTGTGCTAATGGTGTTCTTTCCTTCTGTAGCACATACATAAACCTCACCATGTCTGGAAGATTCCTACTCCATTTGCAAGTCACGCTTTTCACCCTCTGGATGGCTTCCTGCAGAGTCTACCTTACCACATATACCCTTTTCTCTTTCCATTACACAAGGTGGTTTACTTAGGTCTGTACGTCTTGGTCAATTTCTGGACAATTTCTATTCATGATGGTGATTTTCGTGTCCCCAAAATCTTGAAGCCCTTTATTAATGGCTCAGCTCATCATACAGACCACCACATGTTCTTTGACTATAACTATGGACAGTATTTCACACTGTGGGATAGGATTGGAGGCTCATTCAAAAACCCTTCCTCCTTTGAAGGGGAAGGACCACTTAGTTATGTGAAGAAGATGACACAAGAGAAGTGCAACAGCCATTCAGGAAATGGTTGCAAATGTGAGAAATTATCCACTGAAGACTTTTCAAAGACTGAGTAGATGATTTCTGAATTATTGAATATTTTTAATAAGGAAAATTATATATAGCTAAGAGACATAGCAGGAAAATGGTATCATTTGAAAATCAGCACTGCGGGGGCTGCTGAAGAATGATCCTGATGGTAGGTGAGAGGAAGATGCTGTGAGCATGATGATTTCCACCTCTTCCTTAAAATGCGAGATGTCAGTTTGAGGGACAGCCCGTGTCTCTCCATCCAGCGTGTCTCTAATCCGTGTGGCCTCCACAGCCATCTTTTTATGAGATAGAAGACAAATTAGTGAGGGGACCAGGTTATGTCCTTTTACCTTAATCTACTGTATTCTAATTTAAGAAAAATTCATTGTGCTCATAATACCAAGACTAAGCACCATAACAAAGAAATACTAGTGTAAAGATGGTTCCTTGTTTCAGGAATGGTTATGTCTTTGATTTTGCTCTGATTTCTTCAAGTGGATAAATCAGTGTGAAGAAACATACTAATATAACATACTGGTGGCTTTGTGAATGCCGTAATTAATAGCAGTGTAATTAGATCATCACTTCCTACACATAGGAAGCTTATTCTTTGGGGACATTGTTAAACATTACATTTTACTGATAAATAAATTTGGGGTTTTAAAAAATTCTTGATACTACCATGATTTAATTCAAATCTGGAGTTATTTAAAAATGTCGATGGTTATTATTGAAAAGCATTATTTAATAAGTATAAAAAACATAAATCTGAATATGCAGTAGTCCCCCCCCTTATTTGTGGGGGATTTATTCCAAGACCCCCTGTAAGTGCATAAAACTGCAGATATGTACTTCCAAACCATATATATACAACATACATACACACAGTATGCTTTTCTGTACATACATAGCTATGTACAGAAATTAGGCACATTTTATAAATTATAATTATAATTTAGGCACAGATTAACAAGAGTAACTAAATATTACTGTGGTTAGAAAGGAAATTTGATATCAAATAATGTATTTGACACTTGATTTTTAAATTAAGTTGATATACTGCACTTTTTTAAATTCAGTGTATTTTTGGAAAATGAAATGTATCCTTTTTATGAAAATCTTACCATGCAAGCTATTCAACATATAAAGATGATAACCATTACTGATAAAAAATGACATTTTTCATAGGATTCACAGGAAAGTAACAATATGTTCAGTCAGAATTTTCTAATTTCTCACACAACCCTGGAACCATGTATGTTAAAGATCATAAGATAAAATCAGTTCAGTTTTAAAACACAAATGGCATGTGTTGCACTGAATTAACTTTACAAAATAAAATATCCAATGCAACTATTCATTTTGGCTAGATGCACTGCACTTTTGATGTTTCAATGTTGCAAACCTATAATTTTCTATTACCAGGAATATTTAGGCCTGTCTCTGAAGATTAGTTTTGCAATATTCTCCCTCTTCCCCACTCACTTTAATATGAAACCCCAGCCCTGACTGGTGTGGTGCAATTGGTTGGATGTCATCCTGCAAAGCGAAAGGCTGCTGGTTACATTCCCAGTCATAGCACCTGCCTGAGCTGTGGGTTAAGTGGGTCGGTGTGCTTGTGAGAGGCAACCAATCAATGTTTCTTTCTTGCATGGATGTTTCCATCTTTCTCCCTCTGTCACTCTCTAAATAAAAATATATAAAATCTTTAAAAAAGAAACCACAGAAATGATGTGGGTTGTCAAAACTGTTTTAGAATGTTCACAAATGCTCGATGTCAAGGGGGAGAGAATCACATTTTTTTCTGTTTCACATTTTTACTAGTGTTTTATCACTGAGTTTTATGAGACTAGTCATAAAGCTTAATAGTTGGGATCCAGATTAAAATATTTTTCTCTTTTGGTTGCTGTTACAGCATTTGTCTTACTTAATTACACAATGTAGTAATTAGTATTTTGAACTGGTAAATGCGTCCAAGTACTTTTTACTCACCATCCCCAACCCTTAGTACTCCACTTTGCCCAAGAAAAAGAGGGGAATTAAGAAGCAAATTTTGTTTCCTCATAATAATAGAAGCTAATAATTCATTGAGCTTTTATTCTTGATCAGGCCCTGTTGTAAGTACTTGACGTGAGGAAACTGGGACCCAGTTGTGTAACTTTCCCAAGGTTATTTCTCGTGTATTTCAGTGTGGATGTTACTGGTCACCAGGCAGCCTTCCACAGTCAGTCTGAGTCCCAGGCTCCTTCCATCTTGGGAAACTACCTTCTCCCAGTCAGTTGAAGGAGCACGTAAGAGAAGAAGGAAAAGCATACATGGAAAATGTTTGGGTCAGGCCTGGTAGTCATGTATATGTTCCTTTGGACAAAGCTCAGTTATGTGGCCCATCTAACTGAAAGAGATTCAGAGAATTTGGAAATGTGTCTAATTGTATAGCTGGGAGACTGGGTAACCAGTTTCTTAAACAGCCAGTCTGCCGTAATCTTATAATTTATTCCCCCTTTTTTTGAAGGTTCCGATAAAGGTATTGAAGAGATAAATACCCTCAAAATTATCTCAAGGTTTCCTTGTACTAGTTGTCTTTGTGTTCTCAATTCCATAACTCCAATTATGAGTGCTAAAGCTTCCTCTAGATTGTTACTACTGTTCAGTAGAAAAGAAAGAGCATAATTTATGGCGAGAAGGAAGCTTCCCCAAAGGTAATCGAAGTAGTCTTGACCCTCCCACTGTTTTTCTTCAGCCTGGTCTTGTTGAGCAGTACTGGTTAAGCAGTCAGAATGTGGGGTGGTTTGGTTTGGATTTGCTTTTGTGTGCTACCATTGCAGTCTTCTGTTCTCCATTAAGGAATTCAGGGAACATTCATTGAAGTGAGTATCTAAAGTCCCTTCCACAGGAATATCAAGTGAAAGACATTTTCCCTTGACTTTGAAACCTTTTATACTTATAGGATAGGAAGGGAAAACCAAGATTCCATTTTCCACTCTTGGTTAAAAATTGGAACATGGATGGAGGTGGTACAGAACCCAGAAATCTTTTTTGAATCCTCAGCTTCCTCTACCTATGTCTGTCTCTCTCCCCATCCCCCTATGTCAGAATGTTGCAATTGGCTACTTCTCATCACCCTGTGTCATTTCTTCCAGCTTCAGTAAGTTAGCTACAGATGTGGGAGAGAATTGTAACCAGTGTTTGACACACGGAGTTTACAGGGCAGGCTGATTATTTATGTAGAGATGATGTCTGAGAGGAAGATGAAAAGTAGGGACACAAATCAGAACAGTTGTTATTTGGGATTAACTCATGGAAGAAAAATCGATTGCCAAGGAGAGCGTGACAAACAGGATGTCCAAAGAAACAAACCAACTGGAGGGGAAAAGAACTCCCTTTCCTTATTTTCCTAACATCAAATTCAGAACACTTAATAAGCAGTCTATGTCAGTGTTGACTGTTGTCCACCATCTAGCACTGTTATGTATACCATTTATTCTAGGCCCCAAATTTCTTAAAAGTAGAGATCATGTGTAAATCATGGTTGTATTAAGCCATGTGCCCTTACAGAATGTCCAAAACATGGTGGAGGTTCAGTAAATACTTTGATGAATGAATTAATGAAGTGGTGGAAATGTCATTCTCTCCAATAAATATTAAATGAGCACCTACTAGTTGTCAAACACTGAACTAGGTGCAGATATGTAATCCCGGACTCTTAAACGCTGTCTTTTTAGCCAACAATTTGTTTCTCATTTATTCATTAGCTGACATTTGCTGTGTGCCTTGGTGGGGTGGTCATAAAGAGAGCTAAGGGGAAATCACAGATAGTCCCTATGTCAAGAATAGACTCCTTTCCTCAAAGTTCTACCTTCCTCTGAAAATAAAACCCATCAAGCACCCTGGATTCAGACCGAATATGATCAGTAATATGGGTACTGACTGAAGAGGTGGGCAAATCTGTGTGGAGTTAACTTTTTAGAACAGTGCTCAGGATACAAAAATCCTTATACAAGAAATGACAAACCTGGGAGGATAAGCTATAACTTCAGCTAGACTGTAGTTCATCTCAGGAACTGGAAAAGTGAAGAGCTTTAGAGTTACATAGTTTTCAATCTTGGCTGTGTCCTTGGCAGGTTGCATGACCTTGGTTTCTCCATCCATAAGCTGATAGAAATACTACCTATCTGCCCTGGCTGGTGTGGCTCAGTGGTTTGGGTGCGGGCCTGCGAACCAAAGGATCTCAGTTCGATTCCTGGTTGGGGCACGTGCCTGGGTTGCAGGCCAATTACAAGTGGGGGACATGGGGGTGGGGGGACAACCACACATTGATATTTCTCTCTCTCTCTCCTTACCTTACCCTCTAAGGATAAATAAAATCTTAAAAAAAAATACTACCTATCTAATGCAGTTAAACTAGAAACAAATGTGAATGGAGGTTCTTACTCATGTAACTTGTGCTTCACATCTCTTTCTAGGTTTAATGATCATTGTTATTATACCTAGGGAATAATTCCAGGGAGGAAAAAAGCCTAGATTCTTTCACCTTAAAATTGGGTAAAAAACAGGAGACATAACTATGGAAGTTGATGCGAAGTTACTTGGAGGAAGAGTACCAATTGCCAGCGAATGTGGTCAGCCTCTAGAAGCTGGAAGAGAACCCCCGGTGCAATCTTAAATAGAAGTAGTAAGAGTGATATCTTTTTATTGTTCCTGATCTTAAGAGGTCATAGTGAGAAGTGTTTCTAGAGAAGCCAAAAAAAAAAAATCCCACCAGAAACTCACCAAGCTGGCACCTTGATCTCGGACTTCAGCTTCAGTTGCCAGAATTCTAAGAAAATAAATTATTCAGCCAAAACAAAAGAGTAAAAATCATGAGGTTCACTAGAGATAGGGAATACAGAGGAAAATCATATAAGTAAAACTATACAATTTTGCTAACTATATAAAATTACTACAATATTTACTGTAAATTTTATAAGTTTAAAGATACCTAAATTTTTCACTACTAAATAATTTTACTATAAATATTGCTATAAACCATAAGATCAGTCTCCAAGATTTTAAGGTAAAGAGGAAGAAACTTCCCTGAAAAATAAAAAATGTATTACGAAAGGCAGGATGGGAGTATTGTGTGCACCACATTGTCAGTGAGCCTTCCTGTCCAAGCAGTGTTTTGGTATGGGAAGAAAAACACAAATAATTGCTTCAATTAATATTTCCTTTGTTGAAATACATTTAAAACAGTTTTTTGTAACCTCTGAACTCAATTTAGAGATCTTATTAAGATATAAGTAAAATTTGTATAAAAAAATTTTCATTAATGATACAGTTGATCAAATACTCCTAAACATTTAACATCATTTACATACTTGATTAATCATATTTTCTTAAACATTTGATAAGAGATTTAATGTCTTTGAGACATCCCCCACTAAGGAAGACTTACATACTTGAGATATTTTTCTTAGCCTCCTTGACAACGCATACTTAATATACTTAAACACAAAATAGCATAACTATATCAAAGTCATTCAACATCAAAGTATTCATACTACAGACTTTTATTTACTTCCCATTTGTCATTTCGCATGCATTCCTGTGTTTGAAGAATATAATTTTGTTAACTGTGCCCTTTGCTGAAATGGAAACTTGGCCCCAGACATGTGCTACCAGATGAGAAAGAGGAACCTAGAAAGTCGGTGTGCACGCCACTGCCTGCGCTTGCAATGGCTCTTGTCTTCCCCTTCAGTAGGACCTTTTTTCTTTTAACCAGCTTAATGGGGACATGATTTACATACAATAAAATTACCCATTTTAACTGTCTGCATTGATGAACTTTGACAAATGTGTACATGTAACCACCACCTCAGTCAAGTTACAAGGATTTTTTTCCCCAGAAAAAGTTTATTTCCCTTCATAATCTCCCCAGCCCTAGGTAACCACAGGAGATTAATTTGGCCTATTGTAGCATTTCATATGACTTGCATCAGATGATATGTACTGTTGTGTTTGATTTTTTAATTTACCATATTTTGAGATGCATTTTGATGTATATTTCTATAGTTATTGATTGATGAATAGTATTCCATTGTATATCACAATTTGTATATCTGAGTACTTGTTGATGGATAGTTGAGTTATTTCTAGTGTGAGGTTATTATGAATAAAGTTACTACAAAAGTGTCCAAGTCTTTGTTTGGATGTATGTTTCCATTTCTCTTTGGTAAATACCTATTAGTAGAATTGCTGGGTGCTGGGTAGATACATGTTTAATTGTATAAGAAACTGTCAAACTTTCCCAAAGTAGTTGTACCATTTTTAATTCCCATTACTTATATGAGAATTTCCATTTCCTCCACATTTTCACTAACACTTAGTATTCTCAGTCTTTATTTTTAGCCATTCAAGTGAATGTGAAGTAGTGTCTCATTATGGCATAAAATGTATTTTCCTATGACTAATGATGTTAAAAACCTTTTCTCCTGATTCTTGGCTGTTTTATGTGTATTTCTTCTGTGACGTATCTATTAAGTCTCTTCAACATTTTTAAAATTGTGTTATTACCTTTGTATTATTTATAAGAATTCTTTATATATTGGCAATAATACTTTGTAAAATATATGCATTACAAATATTTAATCTGTAGCTTGCCTTTTCAATCCCTTAATTTTGTTTTTTATTTTTAAACTTATTTAATTAAAAAATTATTTCATTTTGAATAAGACCAATTTATCACTTTTTGTCTTTCATAATTATTGCATTTAATGTCCCATTTGAGAAATCTGCCTATCCCAAAGCAAGTCAGAATTTGGGGGGGTGAGATTTTTGATAATGAATTAAGATTTTTAATAAACATAAGGCTTTTCATATTTTTATTTCCTTTGTGAGTTTTTATGCAGTATTTTCAAAGAGTTTGTTCATCTCACATAAGTTGTCAAATTTGTTGCCATAAAAACCTTTATGACAGTCCCCTACTATCCTTACATCGTCTGTATGGGATCTGTACAGGTTTCCTTTTTTGACTCCTATATGGCGGTTTGTGTTTTCTGTTTTTCTTGGTCAGCCTAGCTGAGAGAATATCAATTTTATTGATTTTTTAGGAGCTACTTTTCTGTTTTTTTTATGTTTCTGTATAATTTCTTTTTAATTTCACTAAATTCTGCCTCTTTTATTCTATTTATTTTGGGTTTAAATTGTTCTCTTTCCCCAGCCCCCCAACTTCTTAATGTATCTCAGATTATTGATTCAATTATTTTCCTTTCTGAATATAAACATTTAACACCACAAAATTTCCTCTAAGGCCTATTGTTGCTGTATCCCATACATTTTGATATGTTGTATTTTCATTATTGTTTAGGTCATGTTTTTTTTTTTTTTTTGTATTTGATGAGATTTCTTCTTTGACCAGCCTGCATTGTTTCCCTGGATAACTTCCTTGTACAGTTCTGGGTTGGCATGGCCGCACAAGCCATGTGGTGTGAGATTCAGGTGGAAATAGAGCAGCAGTCGTCTCACTTGCTGTGCTGGGTGGGAGGGAGCAGCCTGTGAAGCTGTTGCTGTTCACTCCTGTTGTCACTTAGCTCACCGCTTGCCTGGCTGACCTAGAGCAGCATCTGGTGCACATATGCCACAGTCTCTCTGATATACTTCAGCTTCTCCAGATTCCAGACCTGATATGGGATTCAGCCGATGACGAAGGGCTCCAACTTCTGCTGCCCTTCTTCTTGACACTTGTGAGAGAATGCCAGGTGTACCCATCCGGCGTTCTGAGTTCCAGCTGACTACAACATGGGTTGTACATGTAAGTTCTTTGAGTCCTCTGTTTCCTATATCATTTTATCTCTCCCTGTCCATTTTATGCCTACAAATTATGCTTCTTCTTCCCTGTACCTTCCCCCTCCATTCTTCCCTTCCCCCTCCCCACTGAACTCCCTCTGTGTGATGTCCATTTCTCTGATTCTGTTCCTATTTTAGCTGTTTGCTTAGTTTTTGTTTTTCTTTTCTTTTAGGTTCATTTGCTGATAGTTTTGAGTTTCTTGTCATTTTATTGTTCGTATTTTTATCTTCTTTTTTCTTAGATAAGTCCCTTTAATGTTTCATATGATAAGGGCTTGGTGATGATGAACTCCTTTAACTTGATGTTATCTGATAAGCACTTTATCTGCCCTCCCATTCTAAATGATAGCTTTGCTTGCTAGAGTCATCTTGGAGGTAGGTTCTTGCCTGTCATGACTTCAAATACTTCTTTCCAGCCCCTTCTTGCCTGTCAGGTTTCTTTTGAGAAATCAGCTGATAGCCTAATGGGTTCTACAAAGGGAACTCCTTTGTAGGCAACTGTCTCCTTCTCTCTTGCTGCTTTTAGGATTTTCTCCTTGTCTTCGATCTTGGGTAACTCAATGATGATGTGCCTTGGTGTGATCTTGTTTGGGTCCAACTTCTCTGGGACCCTCTGGGCTTCCTGGACTTCCTGGAAGTCTATTTCCTTCACCAGATAGGGGAAGTTTCCCTTCATTATTTATTCAAATAAGTTTTCAATTTCTTGCTGTTGTTCTTCTCCTTCTGGCACCCCTATAATTTGGCTATTAGAATGTTTCATGTTGTCCCAGAGACTCCTCAGCCTCTTTTCATTTTTTTGGATTCTTGTTTCTTCGTTCTGAGCCAGTTAGATGTTTATTTCTTCCTTTTGTTCCAAATCATTGCTTTGAATTCTGGTTTCTTTTTTTTTTCTTTTTTTGAAAATTTTATTGATTATGCCATTACAGTTGTTCTATTCCCCCCCTTCATTCCCTTCCACCCTGCACACCCCCTCCCCCACCATTCCCCCCCCTTTAGTTTATGACCATGTGTCTCAAGTTCTTTAGATTCTATATTTCCCATACTATTCTTGCCCTCCCCCTACCTATTTTCTACCTACCGTCTATGCTTCTTATTTTCTGTACATTCTCCCCCTTTTCCTCCCACTCCCCTGTTGCTAACCCTCCATGTGATCTTCATTTCTACGGTTTCACTCCTGATCCAGCTCTCCTCTTATTTTGCTTTGTTTTAGGTGTGGTCGTTAATAACTGAGTTTGCTGTACTTTCACTGTTCCTATTTTTTATCTTCTTTTTCTTAGGTAAGTCCCTTTAACATTTCATATAATAAGGGCTTGGTGATGATGAACTCCTTGAACTTGACCTTATCTGAGAAGCACTTTATCTGCCCTTCCATTCTAAATGAAAGCTTTGCTGGATAGAGCAGTCTTGGATGTAGGTCCTTGTCTTTAATGACTTGGAATACTTCTTTCCAGCCCCTTCTTGCCTGTAAGGTCTCTTTTGAGAAATCAGCTAACAGTTCCCAGTCTGATGGGAACTCCTTTGTAGGTGACTGTCCCCTTAGCTCTTGCTGCTTCTAGGATTCTCTCCTTCATTTGAATCTTGGCTAATGTAATGATGATGTGCCTGGGTGTGTTCCTTCTTGGGTCCACCTTCTTTGGGACTCTCTGAGCTTCCTGGATTTCCTGGAAGTCTATCTCCTTTGCCAGATTGGGGAAGTTCTTCTTTATTATTTGTTCAAACAAGTTTTCCACTCATGGCTGTTCCTCTTCCCCTTCTGGTACCCCTATAATTCATATGTTGGAATGTTTAAAGATGTCCTGGAGGTTCCTAAGCCTCTCCTCATTTCTTTGAATTCTTGTTTCTTCATTCTTTTCTGTTTGGTCATTTTTTTCTTCCTTCTGGTCCACTCCCTTGATTTGAGTCCCAGTTTCCTTTCCATCACTATTGGTTTCCTGTGCATTTTCCTTCATTTCAATTAGTTTAGCCTTCATTTGTTCCTCTAATTTGTGACTAAAATCAAGCAGTTCTGTGAGCATCCTGATCACCAGTGTTTTGAACTGTGCGTCTGAAAGTTTGGCTATCTCTTGGTTGCTTAGAGTTATGGGCTCTGGAGCTTCGAGCTGTTCTTGAGCCATAATGTTTTGCTCTGTTCGCACCTGTTAGTATGAGGAGCAGAGCCTTAGGTGTTCACCAGGGCGTGATGACCCAGGTCACAGGGTTGTGATGCTGTATGTGGGGGTGGAGTCAGAGAGGGACAATAGTGGTCCCCTCTGCTGCTTCCTGCCGCTGGGGCCTTCGCGGTTCATCTCACTGCTTGCTTCTTTGATGGTTTATCTGCGTGCGAATGTGTGACCGCGGTCAGCCCTCAGTGGGTCCGCCCACTGCTACTCTACACCTGGGATCTGCCCACGGCTGCCGGCGTGCCTGGGTCACGTGTCCCGGTCGGTCTGGTGGATCTTTCCTACCCTACCCAGCTCAGCTGCTGGCTTTGCCCCTCTTACCGGACTGGCTGAGAGGTTCATTGTTGTCAGACTTCCATATAGTTCAATTTTCTGTGGTTTGGCTGCGTTTTTGTTGCTAAAACTTTGTTGTTTTTAAACTTGGTTGTGTGAAAAGGTACAGTGCTTCCACCTATGCCTCCATCTTGGCAGAAGTCCTCCTGAATCCTGGTTTCTTTTTTCTTTTGTCTGTTGGTTCCCTGAATATTTTGCTTTATTTCATTTTGGGTATCTTTCATTTTTTGACCAAGTTCAGTCAGTTCTGTGAGCATTTTGATTACCAGGCTTTTAAATTCTCCATGAGATAGGTTGGCTATCTCCTCATCGTTTATTCTCTTTCTGAGGTTTTGCTGTGTTCTTTCACTTGGTCCATATTTGTCTTGGCGCACCTAATAAGTTGTAATGGGCAGGGCTTTAGGTGTTCACCTGGGCAGGGCAACCCTCTTTGCTGCACTGCCTGGAGTGGAGGGGCCAGAAGGGGAACACTGCAGCTTGTCTGCTCATCGGTATCACACTTTCCAACAGACTCTGTGTCAGACTGGCAGTATCTCCCACCATGGCAACCCCAGCCTTAGCCCAGAGTCAGCTCTGAGTCTCAGTTTTCCCCTTAAGTCAGCCCCTCCCACACAGCCTGCCAATTGGCAGTCAGCCCCACTCCTCATCCACCTGCTGAGGTTTTTCTGAGTTGGCCTGCAGTCTGCCTTACCAGTTTGGTTGAATTTTTCTTTAATTCTTTGAGTGTTGGAGTTCCATGCAGTTTGATTTTCTGGTGCTTTTGGTTGCTTATTGGTTTTAGATCGGTTGTTGTCCACCTTTTGGTTGTGAGAGGAAGCGAAGGGTTTCTACCTACACCTCCATTGTAGTCGGACT